GGCTTCAGCTTGCTGGTCCGGAGGCCACACGCCCGCCCTGGAGAGGCAGCTGAACGCTGGGCAGAGCCCCGGGTGGGGGGCCGCCTCCTGCCGCCGCCTCGTTAGGCACGGGTCCCGGGGATGGTGGGGACCACAACCGGGCCCGGGTGGGCCAGCGCAGGGCCCCTCCGCCCGCCGCTGCCTCACTAGGCGCCCCTAAAGCTCATTTTTAAAAAGCAGAGAACACAGGTGAAATTTTCTCTGAACTTTTCAATTTTGACAAAGTACAGGGGCCAACACCTTGCCAATAGTTTCACCTTCTACATATTTGAAAACCTTCATTTCCAGGTAAGTGAACTACAAAGCAAAACAACTGCATCTGCCCTGTAAGAGGAACCCATTATATAATGGCAAAAATTCAAAAAAGTCGTACTGAGGATGTGCCTTTTATACAACGTTAAGTTCCAGAGCAAGGTATTTGTTTAAAGTAGACGTTCAGTGAATGTTTGTTGAATGAATGAATAAATAATGAGAGAACCAGAGCGAGCCTGGCTGTATACACAGGATGGACATTCATATTTTATAATAGAATCTAGGACTGTAAATATTATTAACGTCTGGCAGACTGTATCCTGATTATGTTAATATGTCTTAGTAACAGTCATTTGGAGAGAGTGCTTGCTCTAAACATGGGGCCAGTTGAGAATATGATTCTCCATAGAAGTTAGCCTATAATGTTGGGACTCTCTTACAATCTTCCTTGACAACTACTCTATTTTATAATTTTTAATAAACATTTTGAATTGTAAGGAGGTGATAAATACATCACAATTGATAAAATAATGTCACAGGAAGAATATGTAAAGAGGCACTGCCTTCTTTTGAATTTACATACATTTATTACTATTATTCATATATTAAATCACTATACATCATTTAGATTGTGAAGAGAATTTACCCAGCATGATATACACCTCAGTGCAGCCCAGTTGAGACCACCATACACGAGGCCCTGGAATTGGAAGGAAACACTGCCTTCTGAGGCTGGCACTGGAGGACAGTCTCAGGGTAGATGTGTGAGCCGTACTCTAAGCTTCTGGTCATCCTTTGGGGATTATTTGCTATCCCTATTATAGATGCCAAGGGTGAAGCTTGCTCCTTAAGTTTTTGGTCTATGTATACAGAAAGCATGATGCATCTTGCTTTTGTACAGTTTGAGACTCAGTCAAATGTTGTTCTATATGGATAACCAAAAAATCAGGAATAAGAGGAAAATAAGCCTTGAGAGTACCACACATCTTCTGGATAATCCAGCTTGCATTTTCTCTTTCTGTCAGAGGTTGGCTTTTTTTTTTTTTCTCCTTTTCTTTTTCTTTCTTCTTTCTTCTATGTTTTTCTTTCTCTCTTTTTTCTTTTTTAAATTTTTAAATATTTTTGCCAGAGAATGTATGTGCTTGCTGGAGAGAGAGGGAGAGGGAGAGGGGGAGGGGGAGGGAGAAGGAGAGGGGAGGGAAGGGGTAGGAAGGGAGGGAGAGAAAGAGACAGAGAGAGGGAGGGAGGGGGGAGAGAGAGAGGAGAGAGAGAGAGAGAGAGCGAGAGAGAGACAGAGAGAGAGAGAGAGAGAAAGTAAGAAAGAAAGAAACCCACCCCCCACCCCCTATGGGGAATGGTCACATTTCAATCCCACTTCTCTGCTTCTTCCTCACTTCGGGGTTTTGGGCACACATGCACACACTCCCAACACGTTTTGTAAGCCTCAGGGTCCTGGTAGACTGTGCAGTTGGCCATGTGGGATCTAATACCTTAAATACCATACTACCAGGTATCCTGGCAATTTTTTCCCCCCAGTGAGTAAAGCACTAACTCTTTCAGACTTACAGGCCATACTGCTTCTGTTACAGTGGCTCAACACTGTAGTCATAATGGGAAGGGAGCTATAGACAATACGTAAATCAATGAACTGCATTCCAATAAAGTTTAAGAAAATCAAGTGGGGTCAAATTTGGCTTGCAGGTTGATAGTTTGCCCACCTCTGCTATAACATGACTTACCTGTCCTATTCCCATGGGCAAAACATGCTCTTGACACTTCCTTATCCTACTAGCTCTGTCACCTGAGTGCTCTCCGAATGTCTGCATCCCTTCACTTCAGATGAATGAGAAGATAATAATGATTATTCCTTGATTTGTCTTTAGTATGAGGTCATGCCTTTCTCTTTAATGACATTAAAAATTACCTGCCCCTTCAGGGTCTACTCACCGTCTGCTGTCAAAACTGGACCTTGTCTTTCTAAGTCTAAAAAATTATTTTCAGATGACATAAGAAATGCAACATCATTGTAATAAACAAACCCATTTATTTAGCAAGCACAGGCTTACTTCTTCATGATACTTTTAGAAACATAACACAATTAATCTTGTTACTATTTGATCTGTCGTTATTCAAGCCAGAACATGCACATATGGGCCTATGTTTGCTTTGTGTTACTCAGTGAATTTTGCATATTGTAGAATAGTTTATCGCTCAGGTCAGAAGTGCGTTTTGATAAAAAGTACTGAAAGGAGGGCCAGCAGACGTCAGTGGTTATGTCGTTGGATTCCCACATGGCCGACCGCAGTTTGAGTCCTACACGCAGTGGGTTGAAAATCATGCCAGGCACGTTTGTTGGCAAGTGTGCCCAGGATCTCAGAAGAATGGAGGAGAAAGGATTGTGGCATAGCCATCCCCCCCTGGGAGGTTATTTCTCACTTTCCCTCTCACTGTCACTGTCTCTGTCTCTGTCTCTCTCTCCCTGGCAAGTGCCTGTGCCCTACATCATTGACCTACATATACTCCACTTATATTCCACCACCTATATAAAGTTTGCAAACAAAATTAACCCAAAAAAGATTGCTCCCTCAGCAGAATGAACCAGAAAACCCAGTTTGCCTCTGCTGTACCTCCAAGACAGGGACCTACCTATGTAAGTTTGGGAAGAGAGCTCCTGACTCCTCCCCAGGCTTCTTAAAGTTGAGTGTGACTTGTCTATGATGATGCTCAGAGAACATGGAGGATAGTTCCTGCAGCTGTTACTTGTGTCCTGATCTTATTCCAGGCAAGTGCTCATTGCATTTGCTCATAGGATCATGTCACTCTTTGGAGATTGCTTGTACTAACAGAGTGGCCTTGGATCTGCATTTTGATATTGTCTCTTGGATATACTGATTAGATATCAGCTCTTGTATCTGAGCATCTAGTGTCTCTCTTTGTCCCATTGACACAACTTCATCATTGTGATTTTTTGGGGCCACTTCCTCAAGCTCTGGTACTGTAAGATATCCAAGCTTATCTTTTATATTTACTGCTTCAGTCCTTAGAAGCAACTCTTTCTCCAAAGAGCATGATTTGTTTCTTTTTTTTTTTTTTTTTTTTTTTTTTTTAGAGAATGCAGTTGATTTTCACAAGATCTGGATGCAAGGCATGACAAATTGCATGTGTGTGTGTGCAGGATTGCAAGAAAGTACAGTCTATTTTAAGACCTCCGGCAAGCACTGCTTTTCCAACACCATTGCACAGGGTCCAGGTAGGTAGAAGGATTATGTGGTGTATTCCCAAGTTTTAAGGAGTTTCATAAGAGGCACTGTCAGTGTTGAGAAAGGGCCCTTGCCTTTGGAACATCCCTCAAGACTGTTTGTGAATAAAAAAAAGCAATAACCCTGGAATCATGACCATCTGCTACTACCACTGACCTAAGACTTCAGCATGGTTACAGAGGTGACAGTTCCCGGGAACTGCTTCCTGAGACTGGACTTGGAATCCTTAACACTTAAGTCTTAGTGAACCATTATACATACTTAATGACTATTGTGCACTTTTTATACCCTAGAGAGTGACGGGGGTGGGACTTTTGATTGGATTCAGCTTCCGATATGATACTTAGTATGGTGGTTAGAGTGGAACCGCAGGAATGACAGTAATAGTGGATGTAGTAATACCATGAACAATGAGTTGGTGACTTATGTAGAATACATGCAAAAGGGAAGAATGGGAATAGAAGAGTTTTCTGATTAAAATTGGCTGACAATACTGTACTGATATTAAGGATACTAGACATCAATGCAGGTGTCGACCAGAATGTTGGAAATGTGCATCTGAGACTCAGAGAACAAGATTTGGGTGACTGTATTCAGGAGCCATTTTCACAGTCATCATAAGCAATTATTTCCTTCCATGGATCTGACATGTGCTTTGAGAATTGTAGTATGCATGTTATAAATACTAATATACAGATGGAGTTTTCTTCAAAAAGAATACATGGGTTGAATATAAAGAAATCTTAAAGAATTAAGTGTAATTTATTCACTGCTTTATTTTTTGGGATATATGAATGTTAAAATCAGGACCTAAACAATAACAATAATAAAAGATTGCTTCAATGAATTATGGGCATGTGCTCTATGCTAATGTGAGGACTGCTGTGATTATGGGAGCTGTTAGTAAATTGCATGTTTTAAAAAGTATAAATGACTTTTAACTTGAGAAATGTGAATGTGATTTTTAGGGTTATATTTGTATTTCACTTGTACATTATTTTTCTTGTGAGATGTGCATTTTTGTATGCTACAGAGTGATGGGGGGGTGGGACTTTTTGATTGGATTCAGCTTCCTGATATGATACTTAGTATGGTGGTTAGAGTGGAACCGCAGGAATGACAGTAATAGTGGATGTGGTAAACAACGAATTGGTGACTTAGGTGGAATACATGCAAAAGGGAAGAATGGGAAATAGAAGAGTTTTCAGATTAAAATTGGCTGACAATACTGTACTGATATTAAGGATACTAGATATCAATGCAGGTGCCTACCAGAATGTTGGAAATGTGCAAGTAACTGTGTAAGTAACTGTGTAAATGTGTAATGGTGTAAACGGGTAAGTAACTCTTACTTTGGGGTTATATTTTTAGTTCACTTAACAGATAGTAGTAGTTAACATGTTATAACTGCAACCATTAGTATTTCTGTGAAGAGAAACAGATTAAGAGCTATAGTTGCATCAATGCTGACTGTTCACATAAATTAAACTCACTAGTTACTGTGTAGGACCAGGTAAAGCTTCTTTTATATCCTGTATTTGAAATGTTGGGGGGCTATTTTTATGTAAAAATACAATGGGAAATAACTGAAAAATGAAATCCCTAAATTTACTTCTTTTAAAGGATATTAAAATTTAAGTCCTAGGCTGACCCTGGGGCCTGGTAGTTAAGGGAGTCATTTTCCACATGGCTTACCATGTGGTTTGAATCCCAGCCCCTGTAGCTTGAAAAATGATGCTGGTCGTATGTTTTGTGCCTGCCTAAAATCCTGACAGAATGAAGAAACGAAGAAATGAGGGATAAATGACTGCAGAGTGACAAGCCTCCACTGGGAGATGCTTTCTTCCTCTCCCTTTCTGTTTCTGTATCTCTCTGATGGTGCATATGCCCTCTGGCTATAAAAATAAATTAAATCCTATATTCCTGGGCAGGAATCTTAAAGATGGCTTTTCTTGTTCTTTAAGGTATCCTTTTAATAGGATCAGGGATGAGGTTTATAATTGATTAAGATTATTGGACTTATAATAGAGGGAAACATTGGTTTATAGTATTTTTTTTAAGGTGGGGTCTTGTGTGATCCTTCTGCCTTAGTTTCCCTCACCTAGGATTAAAGGCAGGTGCCTCAGCAGCTGGCTTTTGGGGTGGGCTGGAAATTAACCTGTGTTACCCTTGTGGCTTCAGCCTGCTGAGTAGCCACGTCTACCAGTACACGATGGCAATTAGTGCCTATTCTTTTTGTACCCATAAGCACCATTTCTGTCATGTGCTTTTCTGAATATTGGTGATGGCACAGAGACATGACAAATATGTGGCTACTGTTCTCTTCTGGTTACGTGTCATAGTCAGAGGATCACAGTGACTTTGCTGTTTCTCTTTGTTGACTCAGAATTATTCTATACACAGTGATCCAAATAATTGGAATTGAAACACGTAACACAACCTACAACTATCTTTGTGAAAAAATAAACAAAACCTCATAGGAATACCAGTTGTCTTCACCTGTAGATGTGGAAACTCTATTAGATCAATCAAGAATTAGAGTGTTCAGGAACCAGGTAGCTTCCCTGTGCAAATCTTTCTTGACTGCACTTCGATTCAATTACTGTGATTTATCTTTATGCATTAAATGTCCATCTTTAACTATAAGCATGTTAGAATTGAAATCGTGTTTGCCAAAATCTTGTTAACCAACTTTGCATCGCTGCCATTTTAGTCAGCATTCTATTCAAATCATTTTTTGTCATACTGCCTTTCACTCTGGTGCAGTGAGTTGGCCTTTAAGAAGGCCACATTTCAAACCCAGCACAAAATCAGCCAGACGTTCAGTACATTAACTACAGTTTTCACATCAATAAAATCCTAAACCATAAAAAAGGTAAGGAGAAAAACTAGTAACTGGCAGTGTCTTCGTCTCTATACGCTTCATATTCTTCTCCCTCTCCATGAACCCTGGCTTTGACAGGGATAGGCCTGAAGCACAGTGCCCAAGGGATCTAGAAGATTCTGATTTTCCAAACGTGAGTCAGTATGAATGTGTGGTCAGGTAAGTCTTGGTCTTACTATTAACTTATATGCCTCACTTTCCTTATAAAATAAAAGTTTAATACAAAATTAATTAAAGGTGGGACCAGCAGTTAGCATAATGGCTATGTTGCTAGACTCCCACGTAGTCAACCGCGGTTCGCGTCCCGGACCTGGTGGCTTAAAACTCACGCTGGGCGCATGTGCATGTGTGCCCAAGATCCCAAGAGGAGAATGGAGCAGAAGGGATTGGGGCATGGCCATCCCCCCTGGGGGGCGATTTCTCGCTTTCTGTCTCTCTGTCTCTCTCTGTCTGTCTGGCGAGCACACGCGCCCTTTAGCGAAAACCTCTCAAAAAATTAATTAAAGGTTATCTAAAATATGTAATTCTAGCTCTGAGTTTCGTTTTCCTACTCTTTCCTTTATAAATGCTTTAAAAAATATTTGCTATAGAGCGTATGTGCTCACTGGAAAAAGACAGAATGTGATATATAGAAAGAAAGTGAGAAATTACTCCTTAAGGGGCATGGCAACACCAAAATCTCTTCTCCTTTATTCTCCTCTTGGGATTTGGACACTCGCACAAGTGCCCTGTGTGTTCTTCAAGCCCCTGGGTCTTGGATTCAAACTACACAATCAACCATGTTGGATCCAACTGCCTTAACCTCCATATCACCTGCTATCCCTCGTTTAAGTAGACTCTAAACTCTGAACTTCACAGAACTCCCCTAGGCTGTATATTGAGGGCTGACGCAAAACCTTCCCCTGCTCCTTTTTCATATTCAATACACTGTATCTGACATAGTTTTCATTTTTTTCCTTACATTTAAGCAGTGAGGAAGAGATGAATGCCCACAGATAGAGAAAAGACAAACATGAAAAGCCAATTTTTCAAAACTGAGAAATGGGCACAAACAAAAGTATTTATGGAAGAATAAATGTATCTGAGCATACATGTGCTGAACTCAATGACAATCGAAGTAATGGCATTTCACAATCATTTCATTTTCAAGTAGCAGAGGAACATATATTTTTATAATCATAGCAATATTTAATGCTAATGAGGCAGAGGTGAGGTGTAGACTGCTAGAGTGTAAATTGTTAGAGTCTTTTGGAAAGTAATTTATTAATATGTACCAGGAGCCCCGTGGGCCCATTGTTTTTCCTGTTTAGGATTTATTCTAAGAATCTATTTGGCAAGTTGAATAAGTATTTCTGTAAAACTATGTTATGAGTAAGAGTGGAAAACTAGAAGCAACATAAATATGAAACAACAGAGAGTTAAATTACAGTATATCAATGGGATGCCATATTACATTTTCATTTAAAATGACATAGTAGAGATAGTAAATATTAACTAACAAAATAATTATGAAGCAAGGAGTGCCAGAGCATTTGTGATTTTAATTATGTAAATCTGTGCATGTACATGTGTATATAAATTGAAGATCATATATCAACATAAACCATACTATGTGATTAATTTGCTTTGGGCTAAATGAAAAAAATGTTTTCAGTTTTCTCCATTAAATTAATTCCTTTTTAAAAGATAAATAGTATTTTAGTAAAATGGTTAAAAAAATGAATGTAAAGAAAAATATTCATGGGCAATGATTTCAGTGAAGATGAGTTATTGAGACTCTACATCACTGTGCAGTGGGAACAGCCCTGTTTAGCCTCAGTTTCTGACCCATTTGTCAGATCCCACACTGGGTGATTTATAAGGTCGACAACTGCCATGCAACAAGGTGGGCCACTCAGACTCTGTATGATATATTTATTGATGGCAAAGCTTTGGTTAACATGGAAGATTACTCTGACAAGTATACACAGAGGCCCTCATCTTTTGGCCTCGGGTTCCAGTATGCCATTGACACACCCCTGCACTTCTGATTGTGAGAAACATGCTCACCTGTCCAGTGCTAAAGAATGGCCATGGAGACATGAGGTGTGGTAAAGCGAGATATCTTGCAAGGTTGTGTATCTAATGGGCCAACATACTGAAAATGGTTACGACAAGCCTTTATTCCCTAGTGTGCAAACCCTTCCCCAGTTCCTCAGTAGCTGAGTGCTATAGGGTATACAGTCTTCCAGGATGTTGCCTAAGTTTTACTATTCCCTTTTAAGGCATTTATTGTCCCCTTTCCTCTGTTGTCTGATGCAAGGGTGAAGGCTCAGGACCAGCCCACGAAAAAGGCCCACCAAATGTCCTGTTAGTGACCAGCCACCATCTTGAGAAGTCATTTCTCAAAGGCAACCTGTTGTTTCTCGGTTTTGTTTGTTTAGAAACTTTCTTGGAGATGTGTACTTTTCTTTTTTAAGAATAATTTATTTAGTTATTATTATTATTATTATTTAACTTGACAGAGATTGAGAGAGAGAGAGAGAGAGAGAGAGAGAGAGAGAGAAAGCAAGCTGCCAGATCTGGGACTTGAACCATGGTCAGCCATGTGGAAGTCCAGCACCTTAATCACTGCGCCAACTGCTGGCCCCAAGATATGTACTTTTTGGGGCTGTCACATCTGCAAGCTGCTTAAGCAACTTTTGTTAAGCTATTCTTAAAACTGAATCACTTAGGCAATTTTCTTTTCTTTTAAAATTTATTTTATTTTTATTATTATTATATTTTAAACATCAATTGCTATACATCATTTGGCTTGTAAAGAGAATTTACCCAACATGAAATACATCTCAGACCAGTCCAGTTGAGAATACTTATATATGTTATCATCAAGTAATAAACCATTTCTGGGTCCCACAAATGTCTTGCCTCTCTATTTTTTTCTCCCTGATTTCGATCCTTGTATTATTCTCTTCTCTCACCCTCCTTCCACACTGTATCCAGCATCCATAACTATTTTCACTGCTTTTATGGCCTCCAATCTTTCAGTCTCTACCATTGGGTGTGGACAGAGTTAAGTGGAGACATACAATATCTTTCTCTCATAGCCTGGCTTGCTTCACTCAGCAATAAATCTTTCATATTCGATCACTTTCTATCAAAAGTTAGAGTCTTGCTATTTTCCATGGGTGAACAGTATTCCATACTGCCACACTTTTTCACTCTATTCATCTGTTTGTGGACATTTGGGTTGGTTCCATGTTTTAGCAATTTCGTATAATGCCACAATAAACATTGATGTGCAAGCGTTTTTCTGACTGAGCGTTCTCCTGTTCTTTGAGTAAATACTCAGGAGTAGGATTGCTGGATAATATGGTAGTTCTATTTGTAGATCTTTGAGGCACCCCCATATTGTTTTCCACACTGACTGGACCAATTTACATTCCCATCAACAGTGTAGGAGAGTTCCCTTTTCACCACAACCCCACCATCACTTACTATTTTTTGTAGTCTTGATTTTTGCCATTCTGAAGGGGTTAGGTGGTATCTCATTTTTGACCTGCATCTCCTCTATAATGAGGGATGTTGAACATTTCCTCATATGCTTTTTGACTGTTCATATGTCTTCCTTAGAGAGATTTTTGTTCAGCTCATTTTCCCAGTTTTTAATAGGGTTAACTTTTTTTTCAGGTAAGCCACTGGAATTCCCTTTGTATTCTGGTTACCAGTCCCTTTTCTGAGGCATAGTTTACAAAAATATTCTCTTATTCTGAGGGTTGTCGATTCACACTTGTTACTGTGTCCTTTGATGTGCAGAAACTTCTTAGTCTGATATGGTCTCCCATTTGTCTATTTTGGGGATAATTGCCTGTGCTTTTGGAGCCTTATTTAAGAAATCTTTGCCTACCGCAATGTCTCCCAGAGATTCCCCAGTGTTTTCCACCAGTAGTTTTATAGTTTTAGGTCTTAAGTTCAGCTCTTTGATACGTGTCTCTATTCTATTCCATTTGTCTACCTGTCTCTTTTGCTCCAGTACCATGCTGTTTTGATCATCACAGTGTTATAGTATATTTTAGGCTCATAGAGTGATATGACCCCAACGCCACTCTTCTTGCACAGAATTGCGTTGGCAATATGAGGTCTTTTATGATTCCAGACAAATTCTATGATTGTCTTCTCTAGATCTGTGAAGAATGTTTCTGGTAATTTTTTGTTTGTTTGTTTCTGGTAATTTGATTGGAATTTCATTAAATATGTAGATTAATTTGGGTAGAATTGACTTAGGCCACTTTCCTTACAATTTCTCTCCTCTTTTTTCTTTTTTGTTTTTCCTTGAGAGTTACTGATTTCACTTTCACTGATTTTTTTGGAAAGTGTTCTTTTTTTTTTTTTTTTTTGTAGAGGTTTTTCCCTATAGGGTGCATGCGCTTGCCAGAAAGACAGAGACAGAGAGACAGAAAGCAAGAAATCACCCGCGGAGGGGGGGTGTTGGCCACACCGCAATCCCTTCTCCTCCATTCTCCTCTTGGGATCTTGGGCACGTACACACATGTTCCTGGCACGAGTTTAAGCCACCGGGTCTGGGACTCGAACTGGGGTCAACTACATGGGAGTCCAGTGACATACCCATTATGCTAAGTGCTGGTCCCTTTTAAAAGTATTGTTAGTATTTGTTTGTTTCCCTCATTATAGTCTGAGCTAGCTTCCATCATCATGAGGTTATTTTGGGCATAGGTTATGACTTCTGTTTATTCATTATGACTTCTATGAGCTTCTGTGTCAGGCCTGACAGAAGAAATAATGCAGCCTTACTGCTGTTAAAACTCCAAACTCCAGTTACAATTATATGGCAAGTTAGGACTGAGACTACAATTTCCTTCATTTTCCATACCATCCTTTTAATCAATCAGTAAGTGGATCATTATTGTCTACATTTTCAGCCAATTCATTTGCCAGTGTTGTAAGCCCTTGTAATGTTTCAGTAAAAGTCCATCCTCGGCAGTATTACCTGGAAAATGCTATAGCATTTCCCTCCTAGCATGACACTAACTCTCCCTTTTCTGCCAGAATCGTGTCTAAGGCAATTTGGTTTTCCCAGGCCATTTGGCCAGTGGCGATCAATTGATGAGTTGCCCCCTGGAGGGCATCCTTAGTACAGCTAATGAACCTCTGTTGAATGTAATAAATATAATTAATCCAGTCTATGTTTTTATTAATAGGGGACCACCGGAAGAACGCTGACTTAAGTGTTGCTGCTATTTGATTTCTGGCCTGGAATTCACTGGGAACTCCCCTCAGGACTCCTTTTGAATCTATGTATAGAGTCGAATGATCTTAATAGTGGCCTTTGCTTTTGATGGTGGACACTATTATTTTTCAACTGAGGGTTGGAATGCCAAGATAAATGAAATAACCAATTAGACTAATACTCAAGTTTCAGTTCTGTTGGATGGGAAGAGATTACGCAGGTTTCTTTCCCACAAATATCCACCATGGCGATGTGCAGATTGGACAAGTGGTAAATGGGTTCACCAGAGATATCTGAGGTGCAAGTACAAGTTGATAAATCTTCTATGGGTTTATTGAAGTTTTTCCCTTGCCCAGAGAGGCAAGAAGAGTGGTTCATTGCCCCTATGGGGAAGGAAAAGATGGCCCTTGGATCTGACCTTTGTAGTGCAGGGAAAAGCAATGACAATGACAGGCTTCTGCAGGTTTCATTCCCCCATGTGTCCTTGTCTTGATCTAGAACCGTCACACAGTACATTCCT